TAGGGTGAATACATCTCATTACAATGATTTACTGGTAGTCTCGAAACCCTACTTTCTTACGAATATTGGTTTATTGTATTTTGTGGGCTATTTCGTCAAGTATAGATTCTTGCGTTTATGATGTCTGCACACCGAGACATACGAAAGCCTAGCACCAGTTGATCGGGTTTGCAGGACGGTGAACCGAGGACTCGTTTGCACAATCCAACTAATCGCAATCCTAACTCGCTTTTTGATGAGGCCAATTCACGAAGTTCTGAAAACTAAATTTTCATTTAAAGTGGATTAGTCGAGCCAAATTAAGTCAGAGTTTTTCTGTATACAAATTCATGAGTTCTGTTCAACCAATATTTCCATCACAATAAAAAGCCGTGAAACAATAAATCACCAAGACATTCTTCTTACCACATTTTTATTCATATTATAAGTGAGTTAGGCAGGACAGACTTAAAATATTTCCTGATCGGAGCAAAACTGTCTGACTTCACCGCGAAAGATTAGAAAACTGGTTGTTTTTATCGAATGAATAGTGTTCATATTAACCGCTGCAAAAGGGACTTTTGCTTGAAATCAGACATGCATAATGCCGTTTCGAGGACACTTCATAATTCCGGCTCTTGGACTCCTTTATGGCATCAGCCATGCACAGGCGAAAGAAGATGAGGCAAAATAAATAGCCAAAATGTAGCAGCGAATCAACCATTGCTCCATATGTGCTGAAGTTCGTTTCTCAAGTGCCCATGCCAACTTCAGCATTGCATTCAGACGCTGAAATGGGCGAAATTTCGTACATTCCCCTCCTTTTAGGCCACATCAAGTAAGCAAATACGGCCAAAGTCACAATGTCTGACGGAATATCTGACTCAGTTCTGGCCGGAGTGAGGATATTTGATGTTGGATGTAAATTTCGAAGACAAATTTGCTTTCAAGAAATCTCTTTTGGTTGCTATTTTATTGAGCCCATTTCTAGTTTGAGTGAATGTGTGTAATGAAGAGGTTCGAATGTTGACTTCAACAGAAGACGACCACCAGCCTATCTCTCTGGTTCAACGGCCGGTCGGAGCATTCTTGCTGTTGCTGTATCCGAGGCAATCTCCTTATTGCTAGGCTACCCTCTGTCACTATGACAGTAGGGTTGCATTCTTACAACCCAAAACTGATGTAAGCATACCATAAAGAGGTGCATTTCGATGCGACATACAGCGATTTGATTTTCTCTCAAATCACATGTCAATCTGGAAGCATGTCTTTGCGTATGTGTACTTATTTGTCCTCATATGTACGTATGCATAAGAGACCAACAGTTATGGGAGAGAGTAAAGAGAATAGAAAATAATATATCTGCCCTCGGTCATCAAGATTAAATGGTCCCATTCTTTGATACATTTTTCAACGATGACTTCGACGGCGTAAGGCCTGACAACAATGGTTGTTTTTGTTGTCTGTGTATGAGAAATGTCTCGAGGCAATTAGTAAATATTTACGAGTCACAGACAGCCTAGATTGCATAAGGTTATGAAGGAGTGATGGATGATTGTTTCAACAACAATATGAATGGGCACTATTCTCGGCTAAGTGAAATTCAACGAGAACCTCAGGCCAGCTCGTATTCATCGTGAGATTGTTTAACCATCAGACCGTAATCATCGTATGAGACCCAAAGAACTAGAACTACAAGTGCTGGTATGCCTAATTGAAAGAATTTTCACCTTTTCCGGTTGTCCTCCAAAGGATGAGAACATTATCTGCTTGGGCTCATAATGTTCTGGTGCCAAGAATAAAGATATTGGACAGTTTGATGTCTGACTACTGGGTAAACTCGCTCTTTCAACTAATTAACTTTACTATTTCCAGAAATCCGATCTATACAAGACTGACCACGCATCAGCTAACCGCCGAAGAGTTCACGCTAGGAAAGTTGCGAGTCAACTTCACAGTCGACAGTCTCAAAGTGGTCGAAAGTGGGGCCTTCCAAGCCAGCTGCGGAAAGGTATCTACAATAAAAAGTGGAATTTCCCCCCCTAAAACGTAACTCTCTCTAACTTACAGTCTGCGCTTTAGCACCTCTTGCCCGAATACGCTCAACTTCTTGTGGGCACGGCTGAAATGGACACTGATGAACTTGTTGCTGTGGCGAATTTCCAGTTGCAGCTTCCCTACCTTTGGATGATGCAAAGGGCGGATGAAAACCAGAACTTCCATCCTGTCAAAATAATTGACGTTCTGTCGGATGACCGAATCTCCAGGTAAGACCACGTTGTTTTATCAAATAATTATAAAAAATTTAGCAGAAAGCCTTTTAACACAGTTTCCCACTGCTGAGGCATAGAGTGTTCTGAACAATTGATACTTGATTCATTAATTCAAACTGGCCCCTACTGTTAAATTGGCAGTAGTATGGGCGAAATTAGCTTAATCCTTCACGGCTTGATTGCTCAGAGCATTCAACCAGAGAGGTGTTTTTTAAAACCTGGATTGTTGGTGGCCAGTCAAATTCCAACTTGATTAAGTCTGGTGAGCATGCCTGCTTGCACGAGGAGGCAGATGGGACCCGAGTCCGAAACCCGCCGAAATAAAAAAGTGCAGTATTCATTAGTGGACAAATTTAGCCGTTAAATTGTATAACGGGGCTGACAATGAGGCAATTATAAACTTGTCTTTTCGAGCGATGGGGTTACTTATTTTTGGTATGAGTCTGTTTCAAGGAAAACACCAATTCTTGAGCAAGAATGGTGAACAAAGCAGATATGACTTTCCAGGTGGTCTGGACCTCACATTTTATGGCGAGATTATTAATGAGGCAAACATGCATTGGAAAGTAGAAGCGATAATATTAATTATTTTTATTGGTGAGTACATTTCACAGCAAAGACTTGCTGTTGGCTTCGAAAGATATTTGCTACAGAATAAGTTAGATCGTCGATTGCAATGGCAAATAAATCTTTGTTGTGCTTACTTCCATTTCGGGGAAAAGTGTTGGGTGAAGAGATTCGAAGGTCGGTTCCACCAGAAGAAGACCAGCGA